GCCCATTGCGGAGCGCCCGATGCAGCTGCCGCACCCGCCTCTCCCCCAAGCACCGCCCGAGCACCGACATCCTCTCCTCTTATCTCTCTTCTCTCCTTCCTCTTCCTCCTCGCGGTGAAGTCGCTAAGGGAGCTCAAGATAGAGATGGCGCGGAGGTGGTGGGAGACCAGAGCGATGGTAGGAAGTGCCGGAAGGACATGAGGTGTGTCGGTCGTTTTTTATCTGGACGGGAGAAGGAAGGAATCCATGGAAAAGGAAGGCAATAGATGGGAATAGGAAGAGAGAAAGGGGGAAGAAGGCATTATTTGGGTTTTGTGGTTGGCTGTTCCGTTTGTACATGTATGACAGATGGTAGTTCCACATCTTGTCGGATTTAGATTATTAATTCTTTATTAATAATTTAACTTAATATTATTTACTTCAAAATTAATCCATTATTAATCTTTATCTCGGACCACCTCTCGTTTTGATATTTACCTACGTGCCCTAATCTCATCGAATGCCACTTCATTTTCAATTAAGATTATTATTTTTATTTATTCTCGAATAAATTCGTCCCCTCTTCCCGTCCCATGCAGAAAGATTCCATCGTCCACTATCGATCTCATTGCTCGAATCCAATCATGTTTAAAGAATACATAAAAAAATATTTATTTTTTATTTTACTTTTTAGTTGTCTTAATTGACTCGGTTCGATCGGCCGAAAAATCGAAACATAAAATTTCGAACCTTCTATTGTTTAAAAGTTTTAAATAGTATATCAATAATAATAATAATAATGAATTTGGACAAGTTTAGTTGTGATTTGATGGGTGTAACAAAGACATGATTTATGAGATAAGTCACGAGGCTGACGTGGCGAATGAAATGTTTGGGTCGCGGGACAAACAACTCAGCGTGGGGTGGATAAATAGAAGACGTGACACCAACCATCGGACTGTGACCACTTAAATAAAACAAGTCAAAGTTGCTCTGTCTCTCCTTTGACCAACCCAAAATTAACAACATTTACCTATTTTATCGAAAAATAGACATCAAAATTGTATTGGACTCCAATTATTTTGCAAGTGAAGGAGGCGGAATTTGATCTCAATACATTGTTTTGTTAAATAAACTAGTTGATTTCTTTTAATTTTTAAATAAGATTTTAACAATATTATCATCTAACATCAATATTGGTGATCATCTTTTAACGGGTTGATTGATTTGAACGGGTTTAGATTGATCCGTATCAACAGAACTGATGTATGTTGAATGAGGTATAGAAGGCTCCCAATGTAATTGTGCACTTGTTCTCTAAACAAAGATAAAACGAGTTCTCGATGTAATCTCTTCTACATTCAAATTAGATTTGAGAGATAGATTTGAGAGATAGAGAGAGATTATCCGATCTTAATATTAATGATTTCCTTCACCTTTTATGGTCTATTAGTTCTTTATTATTTTTTACATGATTAACAAGGTGAAAAATAATTATTTAAATTTATATATAGCTCATCTAATTAATGAATAAAATGTATGCTATTTTATTAATTAAAACATTATATATTCTTTTATTATTTCAAGAAAAAATTGTTGATATTTTGGTCAAGATACATCCAAGATGAAAATGTTAAATTCTTAAGGTATTATTTGCATGATGATTGATATAAGGAAAGGTTTCCATCCCTTCAACTTCCAAATTAATAAATTGAGACAGATGATGAGCGTAGATTGAGTGGTCAAAAGGTGATCCCTTTTTTATTGTATTAAATATAAGCTTTTTATAGTATGATAATCACTAATCACCTCTAATAATTTATGTTTGACCTTTATTCATGTGGGGGACAAGAAATGAATAATCTATAATCGTTTATTTTAAACCATTGTTTATGTGAATAGATGGGTAAATGTGTTAGGATCAAAAACACTAAGAGGAGGGGAGGGTGAATTAGTGCAACGAAAAATTTATTAAAACTGCGTTCGTACGTAGAAATCTGATTCCGACGTAAAAGTAGCTTCGTGCAGATAATAACTTTGAAAGCTTACGGAAACGTATTTGAAGTAAAGTAAGGAAGACAGTTTGCAGTTAAGATAACTAGCACAAAAGAAATGCAAACCAGATTTTAGAGTGGTTCAGTCAAACGTGAACTACATCCACTTTCGGCTTCCTCCTCCGACGAGGTCATCGACATCTACAAGAGGCCTTCCTTCAATAGGCGAAGGCCAACCACCCTTTTACAGTTTCACTCCTTTTGACAGGCTTAGGAGACAACATTTACAGAATTTTCACTCCTCTCTTGAATGATCGAAACTTGAAAGAAAAGAGGGAGGAGAACTTTTAGCTTATACAACACTTTTGAGCTCTAAAAATCATAGAGTAAGATTGGATTTTTGATTTTCTTTCATGCAGGAAAGGGTGAGGTTTATATAGACCCCAAACTAGTTTGAATTTGGAGCTCAAAAATGTCATCTCCTGGATTTCTAGGGTCCTGGCGGTACTACCTCTCGGAGATCGAGCTCAGGCGGTACCACTGTCTGACAGGGGCGGTACCACCGTCCAGTCTCGCTTGGAGACTGAGCCCAGGCGGTACCACCGCCTGACCTGGGCGGTTGCACTGCCTAGCTTTCCTGGGAGATTGAGCTCTTGGGCGGTGCCACCGCTTGGCAGGAATTCTGGGTCCGAATGGGCTGATTCATTCGGTCCAATTTGGGTCTGTCAAGGGCCCAATTGCCCCCAAATTAAATTAATGGGATCACCTCGCATTCTTAACTTAATCGACATGCTAACTATGATATTTCTTAAGACATTTACTGTAACTTGCTTCGATGCGTCAAGCGCTTCTTTCAGCGAGCTTCCGACGAACTTCCGGCGAACTTCCGGCGAACATCTGATGAACCTTCGGCGATGCTCCGACGAACTTTCGGCAAACTCCTAAACTTGCGACGATCCACTTGGCGAGTTCTGACGAGCTTCTTTGGCAAGCTCCTGGACTTCTCGGATTTGTTCCTGCAGAACCTCCGACGATTGTCTGAACTTCTGTCGAACTCTTGAACCCCCAACGTGATCATGGTCTTGACTCCGGTGCAACTCCTGCTACATGTCTTACTTCCATCGTAGTTAATCTTGCATATGTAAAACAAAACTTCGATCTAAACAATTAATACTAAGCATTAATCAAGTTGTCCGGCATGTCATTGGTCCCTTGACGCTTCGTCCGATTCTTCGGCGCATCGTCCTCTCCTGTAGTCTATTGCTCAATCGGCCAGTTGACTCCGCAACTCCAATATCCTTAGCGTAATACCCGCTCTTCTTGGCCCGATATCCGAGTTCATGGCTTGAAGCCTTCTGTCAATACATCGATCGATCCATCGGCCCGACGTCCTGACATGTTCCTTCAGCCCAACATGATTTTTCCTGCTTTAATTATCTCATCCTGATCGAAGCATCCTGTGTCGCTCAAAACACATATCAAAACATAAACATAATTATCAATTGGTTTCATCATCAAAATACGAGATTCAACAAAATGATGATATTTATCTTCTCTTTCTAATTTGGATACTAAATGCGTGTCGGATGATAATTAATCGACAATATTCTCAATATCACATGTTAACTTAGCATTTGGATGAGATATACCGTTGAATACAATCCAATTAGAGATATACTTCAAACTCCGATACGTACATCTAACTCTTAAAACAATTCATTAGAATTAGGGTTACGAGGTTATTTCCAAGTCAAAGTGGTTTGTGATTCCAATTTATGTATAATTACAACACTAATCCTAATGGAAGGCAAATTTGATTTAGATCAAGTTTGCCCATCCAAAATAGTCCAAAATGAATTAAAAAAATTCAAAAACTCTACATCGGTCCCGTTCTAACTCAAAGAGAAGTTCTCAATTTCTTTTGCTGTTTTAGATTAATTTATCCTTATTTTGAATTGCTAGCTTAGTAGTTGAAAGAGCCATATTTATGATCAGTGAAATTGGTGGCCATAAGTTTATTTAATTTATCGTTAAATAATAATGATTTAAAAATTCTAGAGTTAGGAATTTTATTGAGATGCTGAAACTATCTTTTTTTTTTCCCTGACTATTAATATATGTTAATGGACATAATTATATTTATTTACAAATGAATAACAATAAGGCCTAAGAGTGCAAAAATGAAAAATATATTATAGTGTAGATAATTGTTGGGAAAAGTGCGCAACAAATCCGCCTCAGGTGACTTACTATCCACGTGGCCGTGTCGAAAGGGTGGGGCCGGCTCAAAAAGGCGATGAACGAGCCTTCACGCGTGGGACCCACGAAAAGGAACCACACACGCACGCAGGAGCGGAGGAGAGCGAGAAGTTTGGCACGCACGAAGACACGTTCGGGCCGGCGGAGGCAACGAGGAGGAGGGTTTGTCACAGCTCCAGCTGTCGTCTGGCGACGCTGACACGCGGCATCGAGCCGAAGCAAGAGGCTGTTGCGACTTGCTCTTTGTGCTGTTCCAAAGACAACGTAACGGTTCGTAAATTATACGTATGCAAAGACGGTCTACGACGCACTAACGATAGATCAGGTAGCCCAACTTATAGTATCGATGATCCCAATCGATTTAGGTTGTAGAATTGAGGGTGATGGATAAGATAGGCAGCCCAAAAGAATCGAGACATTACGATTTGACTCGACCTCAATAGAGACGGGCCCAAATAAAAGAGTTCCACTAGATTGGACCGAGTTAATGCCCCTATCCCAACCTAAATCGGCAACTCAAGTGACGTTCGTTTAGAACGCAATCGTATCCCAAACTATGGTGGCTTGCAGCAATAATTGCACGCACAGACCACCACATCATTCCCCATGCGTCGTTATCTACCAAACTCCCCCATGTGATCGATACACCGCCGCCGACATTTCCACCACCTCGATTGTGTACTCTCTCCATCTTCTTCTTCTTCTTCTCATCTTTGTACGTATCGTCAATCTGCAAGCTCATCTGCACTCTGCTCTAGGATTAACCCATCAAACTAAATAAGCATCCACTTATAAACTACTTATTCATCGATACATATCTCAGCATTATTGTTCTTGTCCCTATAACTATTACAACACGAATTCCACAATGATATGACTGAATCACAGGATACGTCAACAGAGTAAACGACAATTACTGCTACAGAGAGAGAGAGAGAGAGAGAGAGAGACTGGTAGCGGCGAAGACAGTCTCACCCTCTTTTTGCCTTCTTCGGCGGCTCCGGCTGCCGCTGCCTTTACTGCGGCACCAGGGGTATTTTGGGAACGGTCGGAGGGGATGGGAAGAGCTAACAGGGATATTTCGGGAAGAGTAGTGGCGCATGTAGGGAAGGCAAAGAAAAAGAGTCTCCTACGCTAGGAAGAAGAGGAAGAGAAGGATGGAGGAGGAGAAGAAGGTGAAGAAGAAGGGTTTCGAGGGCGCGGCGACGGAATTGTGGTCTGAGGGTGGAGGGGGGCTGTAATAGTAGAAGGGGAAGTATGGCAGGAAGGGGTTGGGCGGCGGCGGTGCCGTGTAGTAGATGTTTGCCGGCGGAGGGTAGTAGTAGCCTCCTCCTCCTCCTCCTCCGTACGGAGGCGGAGGGGAGTAGTAGTAGAAGGTGCCCGGCGTCGACGACGACGACGGCGGCGGGGGACACTGCGCCGTGGACGGCGGCTGAGGAGGAGGTGGAGGGGGCGGGGAAACGACGGGCAGGCAGGGGTTGTCGCAAGAGGCGCACATTGTGCAGGAGGTGCCGTCCCTGATCACGGCCCTCGACGCCGAGACCGACGGTGGGGAGGCGACTGGCATCAGCAGCAAGAGGAGCGGGAGCAAGGCCCGGGGAATTGTGGGAACCGGCGACGCGGAGCGTTTCGCCATCTCGGATGGAGACCGAGAGTGATGGGAGCGAGCGAGACCGTAGTGGGAGCCTCCGCTTTCGGTGTGCGGGTATCATATAAAGCGATTCGTCACCACCCTCTCACTCGTTTTACTTTCCCAAGCTGGAAAAAGTTGCACTTTTTTATTACTACAAATACTTCGAATTTATCGATTGATAAATTCGATTTTTCATTCGATAATTATTTTTAAAAATATTTATTGGGATATTAAAATCGCTTATTTTGACGACTACGCGAGATCCACGTGTTAAGGGATCGCGTCGAGGCGGAGGGGTGGCACGTGCGAACCGGCGTCTCGGGCGCCGCCCGCTTTTGCCGAGGCCGGAGCGACGACCCTGAGCGACGGCGACGGCGGTCGCACGTGCCGATGGCGGACGGGGTTGGGCCGGCGTGGAATCCCGCGCTGCGCTGTACCCACGTGATTGGCAGCGGTGGGTGGGCAAATCGGAGAGGGTTGGAATCCCGGTGGGGGATACAGGTCACGGCAATCGATGGTCGATGTGTATCATTGAGAACCTTGCACGCCAAGCTAAGAATACATCTTGTATACCGCACTACGAAAACGGGTGCATGCAGCGTTTGCCGACATCGGAATATATTGCAAGAAGAGTACAGCTTTCATTTGGAATGATCTGATGACATTCCAAGGATTCTACAGCCGGCCATGTGTGTTTCCGCTCACCGGTGGGCCTCAGCTGCAGTCAGCATGTAGCGAAAGAGAAGCGATTCCACTTGCACCGGCCTTGAAGCTCCCTCACTTCCGGTTGCAGATGCATCCGCAGCCGGTCCGATCTGAGCCTGCAAACCGTATTCTTCTTGCCAAAGGAAACCGCAGATGTTCCACGAAGATCGAGAATAGATTCGTGTTATCTTTCTACGAAGCACAGTGCATGCACTGCAATGAAACACAGTGCTCTGAGATCGACGGTGCCGCCACCGTCATCCAACCAAATGAACGGCACTTACCTCTCCTGCTCGCTCGGTCACAAGGCGACGATGGATTTGTACCGGGGCGGACTGAAGGGGTTCTGGAAGAGGAGCGGGTACCATCGCCTCGACGGCAGCCAGGGACGGCGCCGCCGCGGGTTCTGGCGGATCAAGATCGCGCCGCGCCAGCGGGTCCGCGACGCCAAAGTGAGGATCATGCTCGGCGTCGCTACGTCGGTTACGGCGGGGACATGCTGTTAGTGCAAGACATGTCCAATCTACGTGACATTTAGCTTAATTTTTTTTACTTAAATCTTAAAAATGATCAAAAAAATGATCAGACGAGAATGACGAATGTGAGGGTAAAATATCATTACCGCAAAAAATTCAAGAAAAATGTAACACAATAAAAACAAAAAGGTTAAATTCCATCAGGCAAAAACAAGAAAGCCTCTTGCACATACAAGTGGGTGCAGGTCAAATGATCAGCCACTGTTTCTTTTTTTTCCGAATGGAAAGCAATGATCATTTAGTTTTTTTATTTTTCGATTAAAAAGCAAGAACATTAAAGATATTGTTCCATCTCTGATACGTATAACTAAAGTCTTATCTCCTAATGTGCCATTTAGAGGTTCTAAGGCTTGAGATGATTACCATTTTGGATCATGTCATCAAGCCCATTTTCTCTCTCATACAACGGAGCTTACTTTTGTAAGGA